GGGGCGGCCGTGCGCCCCTCCGAGGACCGGGGGCCGTCCGGGCTGCGCCGAGCCCCGCCGCGGTGGCCCGAGGCGACGAGCGAGGCCGGGAGAAGGTTCCGCGCCGGCGCCGGGAGCGCTGCCTCCGTGAGTCCCGGCAACTCCGCCGCCTGCCCCTTCCACCCCGGGAGGGGGCGGCCCGGGGGGCGCAGGTCCCGCCTGGCCGGAGCTGGGGGAGGCGGCGGAGCGGGGGGGTGTAGGAGCGCGGTGCCGCCCCGCGGGGGTGCGGGCCGGGGTGCGGGTCGGCAGGCGGCCGCCCGGTGCGGGGCTCGGCGGGAGCGGGGATCCCCGGGTTCCCCCGGCGGGTCGGGCGCGGGGGAGCGGTGGGTGCGGGCGCGGTGCGGGTGACGGAGTCGCCGTTCTCCATCCTGGAAGTGCAGGGCACTTAAATAACACCTGAGTCACTACTCGGTGCTTCTCATCCGTGTCAGATATTATTTCCGTGTTATTTTTCATCTGCTGGGCCGATATTTGCCGCTTCTTTGTCATTTAACACCGCAAATGTAAAAACAAGATTAGTAGGTTTCAGATTGTTGCCATTGATGACGATGGATTGATGTATGAGAGTATTTACTGGATGTGTCCAAGCACAATATAAATGCCTGCCAATTTGGTCTCTGAATTGCTGTATTGATTTCATTCTTGCAGGCTTTTTGACAAGGTTAATGCAGTTGACAATTGGTAAAGAAAGGAGAAAAACTTCTGTTTTATTTTAGTTGCAGAATGTCTGTTGTAACCGAAATGATGAACTGAATGAAATGAAATCATTCATAAAAAGAATAAACAGTGAGACTGTCCCAAGACCTCTTGAGGTCAATACTGTCGATACCTAACAGATGCCTTCCTGCCAGGCTTTTATGCACTGCCTACCACTCCGGCTCCTGGAGGGTAATACAGCGTGGGATACTCTTTCCAGGACTGTGCACTTTCCCTGTTAGAGCAGAGTTAAGTAATCTGGCTAAAGGGAGTTGGAAAGGATTAATGAACCCATTTCATTAAAATGCTGGTGTCTTTTGTAGGTGCTGGATCAAATAAAGCTCTTGCTTCTGCTTCTGTTCCCCTCCGGTGTTGGCAGGGTGGTGCCCAGGCGGGGAACCGTCCCAGTTTGAGGTGTGTGGTCTCTGGAAGGGTCCCTGCAGTGCTCGGGGTGTCAGGGTACCATTCATACCACTTCTCTGCTGCCAGCAGCTCCAGCTGCAGGCGGTGCCGAGCTGAGGAGGGAATTTAATTCACCACTCAGAATCCGAAGTGTAATTGTCAAGTAGGTAAATTAAATACAGGAGAGCTAATATTTCCTTTTAATTTCTTCAGACATGTGACCACCTTTACCAGTTGGTAACCTTTTCAGAGTTACCTCTCTGCTGCTATCATATGCTGGCTGCCATTAAGTTATCTGAACGAACTAACCCCGTGTTCAGTACCTGCTGGCGTGCAGTAAAGCATGCTGAGTTATAGAGCCCTCTTGGGACCATGTTATGTGGGCCCTGGTAGGATCCATGGCAAAAGCCCAATTAACCCTTCCAAAGACTGGGCTTCACCATAGGTCTTCATTGTACTTTATAGTGAACGCCAGCCAACCTTGGGTAGAAATTCAGGTGGCAATGTTTAAATGTGGCTAGTGATGCCACTTCTAACAACTCTCCGTAGCACTGCTTTGGCATCAAGGGGAAGAGCCACACAGGTCCTTGATATTTTTAAAAAGCTCTCTATATATTGATCTGTATTTGCTTTCAAGAGGAGTAGGCAGCTCAGATTTGTCTTGTATTCGGATTTTTATGGGCAGTTTCATCAGAGTGGATTATAAACAAGTTAGATTGCAGTTTGCATACGCACCATATTTTAACAGAGGTATCCAGACAGTATGGGGGGAGAATATGATCAGATTATGTTGCTTATGGCAAAAAAGTTCAAATAAACTGCTAAATATTTGACTTGCTACAAAAATATCAGCAAACAATTGAGCTAAGTTACAGTTTAGTTCTCTCATAAACTTCAATGGGAGAGGAAGGGACAGAAGCATCTTTTCTAAAAACCTTGGTGAAATATTACTGAATAATATATTCACAAGGATTAGCTTAATAAACTGACTGAATCCAGTTTAGTGAGCTTCTTTTCCTTCATGTCTACAGCAGAATGTTTTTGAAAAACATCCGAAAAAGTTGCAAATTTTAATTAAAGATGAAAACAACCTTCTACAGAATGCTTGCTGAACTGTTCTTCATCCAACTCTTCTTCCAGATCAAAGTAGTATGGAGCAATGCTAAGATGCTAGCTGGTTAGTATTCTATGTTAATTTTAAATCTGTGTCTGTGGACCTGTGAGAAGCTGAATGGGCACTTGCAAATCCTGTATATAATATTATTGGCATGACCACGTAACTGCTGATAATTTCCACTAATTTTGTACAACTGAAAATGCAAGAAGAAAAAGCATATCGTGACTTAGAGTTCCTGAAAATCATTATACAGAAAAAAGACTCTTCTGTATTTATTTTTAAAATTATGCATGCAAGTGCAGTTTTTTTGGAAAATGAGCGACTAAATAATTGAGGTACGCTTGGCTGGAAGTTGTGCTAGTGAGTGCCATGAAAGGCAGCTCTGAAAATGCCTGTTGGTTCTCTGTGTCAGTAAGCTGGTGGCTCAGGTTTGGTTTTTTCCTGATACCTGGTGTTTGGGTCCCTGCTGTTGCTGTTGAGGTCAATACTGAAGCTGTTGATGCTGGCACAGATCTTCCCTGTGCCTTTCAGGGCCGATCCCGTTAGGTGCTGAGCACTTCCAGCCTCTGAAGTGGAGGAAGCCCCCCTTGGGTCAGAGGGGCATCCCCTCAGGTCCCTGCCTGGAACTACGGGCACGGAGTGAGATTCACTCTCTTGAAGAGTTTGCCATGTACATAGTCTGGAGAGATGAGACATCTTGCCATGTAGGAGGCCAACATGACTTTGGTCTGAGCCATGAGTGCTCCGTGCTCAGCAAGGCTGCACCCACCGCCTTCCAACGGGATTGGGTCTTAATTGATTCTTCGATAAAGGTACCCAGAAATGAATGACCGGTGCCTTAAGAAGGTGTGTTATTTCCCTCTCATCTTTTTACTCCAGTATTAACCTTAGTGTTTCTGAGCATGCCAAGGGACAGCACGTAATTGCGCTTTGTTTGTTCTGTGCTGGTTTTTGGTCTTAAACCCTCTTTCCCTTTGCCATCACTTTCAGTCCCTTTCCTGCTTGGGCAGGAGCAGGTTTGGCTGCTCGGACCCTCCGGTTCATTCTTCTGCAGCAGGAGAAGCAACTGTGAAAGATCACAGGGCTAAACTTCACCATTAATTAAAAAAAATAATTTTGTTTCAAAGCAAGTAACACGTACATCTGGCTGTTTTGTAGTGAAGCTTTTTGTTAGTTTTGTTACAGTTACGCTTCCATGCGGAGCTTGCGATGGTGGGATTTGGCAGGTGGAAAGGTAAGGACAATCTGTATGCAAGACTTTTTTAAAGCTGTACTTTGTATTGGATAAAATGTGAACTGATTTGTTTATGAAATAGAGAGAAACACCGAATTGCTCATATGGAAAACTAGCGAATACAGGATGAGGATGGCAGAGATACTGACCACATCTCAGTCAATAAAGCAGCGCTGCTGACAACACTGGGAAAGTTGACTGGGTGACCATTCAATGGACCATGGCCCACTCATGGGAGAACCCATGGCTCACGTTAAAGGTTGTGTTTATAGGCATGTTTCAGCTGGACACCTTTTTAACCAAAGTGGTGTGCACAGGTGTTGGAGGAGTCTTCCTTCGGGCAGTCTGCTGAACAAACCCAGGAGGTGGCTTCACCTTACTGGTGTGCCTGCACCATTCCATTGGCTCCATGCTTTCGAGGTGACCCTTGATTGAGGATGTGGGTCCCCAGAGTGGAGAGGACCTGGGGGTGGTGGTTACCCTCTGGTGGAGAGCTCCATTTGACGGCCTGTGCTGGCTTGTATGGATATGGGAAGATTTACCATTAAAACAAGGAAGAACAAGAAATTTTGGTGTTCAGTCGTCAGGGGAGTGTAGAATCATTGAACACAGCTGATAGGAAATAGCTCCGGGAATAAGAGTAGACAATGCCATGGATTTTTCCATAGTTCCCAGAACGCCTTCTGAAATAGGATCATATGATGGACAGGTGAGCTAGTACCACGTTGGATACTGAAGTGCTGTGGTCCTGAAGGGTGGGTTCCTGTGAGGATCTGCTAAATGCACGGGAAATGCAGTTTGTGCGAGTGCATCCTGCATTGCCCCCCGACATGTGTGCAGTACACCGGGTTTTTTCGCAGTAATCTGGTGTGGTTCAGTAAAGGTGATGTGGAATGGCTTCTATTTTACAATAAGCCTCTGGAGCTTGGCTTTTTTATCATTTACTTCAGGTATACTTATGCAAATTTGGCGGAATTAGCTGTTTACACTTCCAGTAGTTTTTTTGGAAATAATCATGCATTTCAGCCCCACATGTCACATTTCAGTGCTGCTGTTTCATGTGACATCGTTTAGCAGATAATTTCCCTTTGGTCATATCCAGCAGCACATGCATGACCTATGTTGCTCTTTGTCTGTGGCTTCTGATGAATATTATTAACTATTACCCAGAGTTAGATGAATAATACAATGGATAAATTTTGCAGTACTTTTGGGTCTGTGCTTTCACTACGTGCTATTTCTAGCAGCTGTAGCGGTCTGTGCTCTGAAGGAGTAGACCAATGCGATGTGTACCTGGTGGTGGCTTTAACTCTAGTTTGTGATGTCCTCATTAGCTTGGGGCAAGGCACAGGGTAGAAAATTGCTATTATTCAAAAGCTAGTGTTTGAAATGCCTTTTTCTTCCTCGATGTGCTACAAAGTGCTGAGCTACCTCTTCGCAATTAGAAAAGCAGATCTTTATTCTGTTGTTTTGTCCTAGAAACTGGACACTTCTGCAGGCAGTGCCAAGCGAGTTCACAGACGTATTTGGAGGTTGCTTCTCTGAAGATTAATTGTGTCTTGTCTTCACAGAACTAAGCTGACAACTAAAAAAATCTCTTTAAGTAATGTAAAATGTGTCTGAAAAAAGTGTTGCTGT